TGTTCGACAATATCTGAGCAGAGGTTGAAACAGAAGGCCCCTAGAGGTATGAGAAGTCTTTCATTCCTTTTAAGCAGATTTTAAACACAGTAAAAAAAAATGATACCAAAAAAAGTGGTACAGTAGAAAAATATTTATAATATCACCATTTAATTCATGGCTTTTATAAAGTTAGATTTAGTAGTTTAATACCCATAAATAAGGGGCTGCATCTAATTCTCCAGGCTTCGTAATTCATTAATACTGACAGAGGCTTCACTTAACTAAATATCCTGTCTCTTTCCAACTCACCCATAAGCACCTAGCTAACTTCCTCCCTCTCCATAATTATCTTTTCCCTTCCCTGACTTATTTCTCTCCACTGTTAAACTTTTGAGAAATTCTTAACCTTTACATTTACTCATTTTCTTCATCCAAAAGTCTCGCGAAAAATTCACTGATATGGAATTACCACATTTATTCATCCTCGTTAAATCCTTAGTCTTCAGAAAGGCTTCCATTCCCACAGCTCTGGCAAAATCAAACTCCTAAAAGCTATCCATGACCTTCTGGCCAAAAGCAAGAAGCCTTTTCAATCCTTACTTACCTTGACTTCAGTGCAGCATTAGACATAGTTAGTGAATCACCTTTTGTGTGCATGTATAGTATTTTCATAGTGACCTAAGGCTTCAGAAGCCTTCCTTGGTAGTTAGGACATTACGGTTAGCCAGTAAGGTCTTCTATAATCTGAGGCCATTCTCTCTACCAGCACATGTTCTCTTCCATTAGTCTCTAAGCAAACGCTCCACTCAAGTCAAGAATAACACATAAAGTCTTTATAGACGTCATTTCCCCCTACCTGACAGTTTCTCTGCCTTCCCCTAAAGTCACTCAAATCATCTACTTGTGAAGAACCTCTTTCTCTAAGAAATCCTGCCAGGCTATCATCTGACTTGTCGCAAAAATCCATTTTGCACTTATAAAATATTAATGTAAGGCAATAAAAAGAGATGCTTTCTTCTGCATCTATTTTATCTTCCTAAATGGACTGTAAGCTTCTTAGATGCAGGAACTAGACTTTACAATCTCCAGAGAATACAGAAAATGGTCCATCACATTGTAGACAGCTAGTAAATACTTACTGAAATGCAACAAGGATAAATATAACAACATACCTTGCCTGCCAGGCGACTGGAGATGATTCCATTACTAGATATAAGACAGTCAGCCAGGGTAGTTTTACCTGTTATTAAAAAAATTAACAGCAATATTGATTCAAATCTATTTCTTTTTTAAAAGAGGAAGAGGATATATTATACCTGCAGATTTAATATCTGGTCTAAAGAATTGCTTTAGCAAAGATTTCATATTTACAGATGCTGGGTGAAATAAGACAAATGGAACATTTTAAAGAGTTTAACTAGACTTATCAACAGAACATCATCTGGAAGGATACAGTACTTTATAGTGCTGTGAATCCCATGAACCTCACCTGAAAAGCTGTCAAGCAAGTTTTTCTAAGCATAGAGCTTTTTTAAAAGAAAAAAATTTAAGGCATAATTTACATACAGTAAAACGTACAGTTTGATGAGGCAAATCACCACCCAAATCAAAATACAGAACATCAGACAAACAACTTTTACACAGTTACTATACTCTGTCCCTAAAGGATTTGATCAAGTTTATCACAATTATTAACACCAGTCATTTGATACCCACAACAGTGACCATGCCTATAAAACTATTAAGCCCTTGGCAGCTCAGAATGACAAGAAGATAGCCCAGCGATAATTTATTTCTCTGAAAGGTACACTGAGTAAAACATTAAGAGACAACTGAACATGCTCTTCTGCCCTACTTCCCACTGGCATTTGCCTGTTAAGGACTGTCTTATGAAAATACACACTTAGTGAAGAAATTCAGGAAATTTACCCATCTCTCCTACTGTTCGCAATGGAGCCTGTGGAGGGCATCAGCTACACTGTAGCTACTAATGCAACCTAGGATCCAAACAATCTAGGAATCTACTCTATAAATTTAATTCTTTGTATACACAAGTACACACTTAAAGCTGTCTTTATTAAATAGATTATGACTAAATTCCACAGAATTTCAAGTGGTAGAAACAGGTGATTCTCCCTGCTTACAGAATGTTATGCATACATATAATTACTGCAGCTGGGTTGAGTAACAAAAAGAGGTTTTTTTTCTTTCTTCAACAGAAACAAGTCCCTTATTATATCCAAAGCTATGGGATCTGTGTATAATAGTTCGAACCAGAGACCAATAATTAGGAAACTGATGACCTTTAGTACTACATTATCTGCTTGTCATGTAAATATTAGGGATAACACATAATCCTAGAGCATCACTTTCCTACTAACCAACGGAGCAGAAATCATTCTAAGTACGGCAAGCACACATCCCCTAGGTTGTAACTGCCAAGAGAACAGGGACTTTGCTGTACTCACGGCTATATCCCTAATGCCAGAACAATGCTCAATGCTCAATAAATAAGTGTTGACTGAATGAATAAATCACAGATTTTCTAGGACAGTACCAGTTTAAAGTAATTTTAAAGAGTAAATTCAAAGTAATTTGTTATACACACACCACTAAATTTCCACATGAATTCACAAAGCAAAAAAGTATTTTGTCAGACCTCACGTCTTCAAAATGTGAGCAACATAATTATAAACTTACGGGGGGGAGGGGTTAGTCACTGGATTTTTATATAAAACTCATTTAAGTTGGCTTCACCTATAGAGACCCATTATCCCTCTCCTTACTTCAGTTCTCAGTCACTTCACTTCAGCTCTTACATCAATGGCAAAAAGTAAGCACTTCCACTAATCTTTCTAATATACTATTTGAATACATCATCCCTGCTTTATTTTGTCCCCCAAATAGCTCCCTACCACCTCTTAATAAATGCTAGTGATCATCTTCGTGATTCCGGATTTACCATCCTGCCAAGGGCTTCTCATTCATCATCTCATTTAATCCTCACTATCCTATCAGGTAGGTACAATTTTCCTCCTATTTTACAATGTTGTCAGTGAAGCACAAAAGGCAAAGTAACCTAAAATGGAGTTTTGAACTCAGACTGTCTAACTCCAGAGCATTTAACCCTTATCCTAGTGCTTAGTCTAGCACGAAGAGTTCTATAAGATATGGTCCAGCCTGCCTCTTCACTTCATCTACTATTCCTTCACCTTTAGGACAACAAATATATTTCACATGTCATTCAATCACTTAGTTGAGGCTACCTGAACTAAGAAGGATTTTGAGCAGGTTAAACAGGACGAAGTGCTATCTAAACAGGATGCAGTGCCTCACCCCAAAATCTCACTTCAGGCTGGGCTGGTGCCCTATTCATAAATCTCTATCTTCTGGCATACCTAGCAAAATACCCTCAACTTAGTCGATAGTCAGTAAGTATCTGATGAATTAAACAGGATCACATAAAACACGCTCTGAGGACATGATGTCAAGACTATAGACCTTTGATTTTTTTTCGTCATTGTGCAACCCATTTCAGTGCCCGCAGCCTATGGTCAGGAAGGCCAGGCAATGGTTCGGGGCTACGGTTTGCTCTAGCATGGGACACTATGAGAGGCCCACAGGGACAGGCCTGCCATAAATCCAAACCCATGCAACCAGACTTTTTATATTACAAAGCCATCTGAAAAATTCTTCATAGTTTAACCAAAACTAAAGCTCTGGCTTAAAGAACAATATGACATACCACATTAAAAAAATGCTAACCACGAGTTAGTCATGTTCATTTCAAATGCTTTACAGTGTGCTTCTCTTACATCACAGAAAACTTTCAAAGGAATAAGACTTGCTTCTTAGGTCAGCTAAACATCACTCCCAACTGCTCACAGCTTCACTCCATGAGACCAAAGACACATGCCCTTTGTAACTGAAAATAAGCCAGTTTAAAAGGATTCTTACCATGGTCAACATGAGCCAAAACACAGATATTCCTGATGTTTGCAGTGTTTTTCTGGAGTTGAATCATCTTATCCAAACTATTGAGCACCATGGTTACTTCTCCTGTGACTAAAAATTAAATACGTATTACAGACAACACAGGGGATAATGGTTGAGGCAAAAAAAAAAAAAAAAAAAAGTTTAAACGCTTAAAGGTGACAGGACTTCTCAGATCCCTTAAACTAAGAACTAAACGAACATTGTATTGAAAGGATATACCCATACAGGCCCAAGGCCAGCTTTAGCACTTAAATCAGTTTTACATCACGATTGTACTCAAGTTTACTCATCCTTCCGGAACCGATCGCTGCGATGAATCACTCAGCTCCTTGGGGCTGGGTGCACAGCAACACCAGTAATTCTGACCTCCGGACGAGTACTAGGGTAAACTTCTCCATGCCACTAACCGCGTAAAACGGTCGCAAGCAGGAGGCAGAAAATAAGCTAACTTCGCTCCCTTCGATTTTTCTCCGAGTCCCTCCTTCTATCATTTTCGCTGGAGGTGAAACAGCCAGGTTTATCATTACCTACATAGCCCAAATAAAGTTTGGGATTACGCGCTTATTAAACAAGCAGGTGCGCTGAAGATCTTTCATTCCTTTCCAAAAGAAAAGGAAAAAACTCAGCCCAGATTCGTTTTCTTTGAGGATCCAGTGTCCACAGAGACAAGCGGCCCGGTCCCGGGCTGGAGGCGACAACTCCGGCAGGCGATTGTTCCCAGCCTGGGGCTCACTCCCAGGCCTCGTCCCACCCCGCCGCCGCGACGACGCCGGTCTCCAGCAGCGCTGGGAGGCAGGGCCGAGGGGGCGCCAGCACCCAGCGGGGGCCCGCACTCACCCTCTCCCGCCGTCCGACCAGTCAGCTGTGTCTCTCGGTGCCTGTCCACGCCACCCGCGTCGGAAACCGGGATACCTCCGGCGTACAGAACACCGGCGCACAAGGGGCGGAGCTGGCTGGGGCGCGACCTTTGACCCCTACGCGGCTCTGACGTCACCGGAAGCCGGCGCCGCGTCGGTCCCCGGGTTCCCGCGGTTGCCGTGACTACGGCGGGCGCAGTGAAACTGGAGAAGTAGCTTGTGTGGAGGTGCAGCGGAGAAAGCTTTACCAGCTGAGAGGATGAGGAGCCGTTGTCTGTGTCAGATTTGTACCTGCGGGTAAGAAATGGCTAGTGTGGCGGCGGGCCGGAGCATGAGAGCCGAGCTGGGGCTTTAGGGGACGGAGACAGTCCCATAGGGAGCTCCCAACCCGGAGATGCCGGAACGAGGACGCCGCGAAGTCCCCACTTACCCGATCCACCAATGCACGCTTTGCACCCGCTGGCTGCCGGTGGTAAAACGTTTCTGCTTTGTAGTCTCTGCGACGCCCCATCCAGAGGTGCAAACCGAAATGCCTACGGGGTCAGGCAGATAATACCTGTGAAGCGGGAGCCGAGTGTAAGGCTGGTAAGCGGTGGGATCAGATCCGGCTGGGAGAGTGCATGCCCCAACAATTAAAAGACAAAAGAAGGGTGCGCATGGTCATGATTTTGCAACTGTGCTGTACGCTTTATTCTGTCTCCAGCTTTCTATTCTCCAAGGTCGACCATATTCCCATACCCATTCAGGCAACCCTCCTTTGGGATCTGCGTAACTGGAGAGTAGTAGTTCCCACCTTGAAGCCCAGAATTGGCCCGTGAGACCCGCCTGACAACCTCCTACCACCTATAAACACAGTCTTCTCCTTCCTTGGCGTCCGTCACTGTTGACCCAGGGATTACATCATTATTTGCTAAATAAATATTATGAATATCCCAATCTCTTTGTATTTGTAATCCCTGTAACTGCATTCTCCAAAGGAAAAACACTTGAATGATAATGGAAAGCAGTTTGTCGCCAGTCTCATAATAAACACTGTGATTAAATGTAGATTAAAAGATAAATTAATATTTGAGATATGAATCGGCAAACTCGAGTATGCAAGAAAATTTTTAGTTTTTTTCTAATCTTTAAATTCATTTATGTCCAATCCAGCTGTCTTTCCCGTTCAGCTCTCAGGAAATTCAGTCTTCGTTATGGTAAGGGCTCCGTTTCTCCAAGCGATATAATCATGCAGGGAGCTGAGGCATTGCAACGAAAGAGGAGTCCTCGCTGGTCTTTGAACATCAGTAACACTTACCACTGAAGTGTCCCTTGCTCAAGTTCACATAGTCCCATCAAGAGTGGTACTTCTGCTGCTTTTAGGCTTAGGCTTGAAGTATAAGAATCTGCTAAAGCTGCACTATCACTGAATTCAGCCTCCCTAACTGTTCCGCATAGCCAACCCTTTTGAGATATGGCCACTGCCTAGGGTACCGACACAGAGTGGGGCAAAGGTTCCCCACTCTTAGCAGAACCCCTCTCCATCATCTTTTACTTCCTCCCTCTTTGGGGGAATTTTAACCTCTTCCTTTTTTTTTCTTTTCAGTCCAAGACCATCTCTTTCCTCTTGTGACCCTGAAACACAACTGTCTTGTATTTCCCCTTTAAGGACACCTGGTATCGTCTCTTCCATGAATTACTTCTTAAAAGTTCAGGAAAATCTGTTGACTTCAGGCAGCTTCTGAAGTTGCTCTGCCAAGAGCCCTGCAGTAAGGAAACGTAGAGGTCCTGACTACCTGCTTAAAATAAAGGAGGGGAAAAATACAGGGAGGACAAACTTGTTAATATTTCAGCAAACTGCTTCTTTCTAGGAGGATCAGGATGGCTAAGAGACCTCCTTGGGGCAGTTGTGAACTGTTTTGTGCTACCTTTTCAGCTTCCTGTTTGAATCATTTTCACACATGTAAATAAATAGTTTCACACACAAATTTCTTTCACTGTGTGGGTCAAAGCAACAACCCATCTCTAATATTTTTTGTCTGCATTGTGTTCATACAATTTCTCGTGTGAATTAAACTGTGATGGGTTATTTTATATTGGAAAACAAAGTTGGGGGATGCTAGAAAAAAACTGAGGTGTGGTAACAATAACCTGGTCAGAATAGTTGGGTAAGAGTTGGAAGAGGGAGGAGAGAGAGGGTGATGTTTGAGAGGATAGGAAGACACTTGACTTATGTCTCAAGTTCATGATAGCAGATAAGAGAATTTGTCTTCATTCCTTTCCTAGGACGTATTGAAATAAACATATAAAAACAAAATAGAAATAATGATATTGAATTGAATGGGAGAAGGCCTCACTAACAGATGAGATTTCAACAAATTTTTGGAGGGTGGAAAGGTGAAGGTAGGAACACTTTTACAGATGAAACAGATAACTGAAGTAGATGTTCTGAATTAGATACGGAGCCTTACTGCCATACAGGGCCTGAGAGAGACTCTGGTCTGTATTCATAGTTTTAATAGAGGGCAGAGGGTAGGATATATACAGAAAGATTAAGGTCTGAATCCAAAGCACCTGTATTGCTTGGCCTTCCCATGTCTTCCTCCATCCGCCCCCACCAAGCAAAGCGCAGGCAACTGACACCTACCCCTAAGGGGGGAAAAGAACACTGAATGCTTCCTTAATGAAATTAAATTACTTGTCTTAGGAAAGTTAAGACTCCAGCTGTGGAAGCCTACCATAAAAAAAGAGGACTCAATAAACTGATAATACAAAAGAAACATTGGAAATCTTTGAGTGCATGTGAAATGCAAATAATGTAAGTGACATTAAGGGTACTAGAAATGTCAGGAAAATGAAAAGCCATATAGTAAAATTAAGGTTTAAAAATGAAGCAAAGTAAAAATTAAAATGATTTTAAGTATTAATAATTGATATAGTAAAAGTAAAGATAATTTACTTAAATTAACCTTGAGGCTGGCAACCTTTTACCTTGAGTGCCTTAGGATCATGTTGAACCCCTAGAGAGGGAAAGATGCTCCCTGGCCCAGCATTAAAGGATGTATCATAGTCATTGTAATGTAAACATAGTATACTGAGTTTACAACTTTAAAAAAAAAAAACCCAGCTACAAAGTATGGCAACTTGGTTTTGTTGAAGGGCATAATCCAAACAACTTTTGTAATATAAAACAAATATAAAAGTGGGATGTTAAAGGGAGGTAGAAATTTGGAGTAAAATATTTAGGAGCTAATACATTTCTCCATCATCTTATCATCTTACAAAATGGGAAAGTCAAAGAAAAAGTATTTAGGAGCTAATACCCATATCTGGCAAAGTAGGGTATCCTGAAATGCTATGTTAAGTTGATAGAATAAGAACCCGCTGCTGTTGAGTCGATTCCAACTCAGCAACCCCATAGGGTTTCCAAGGTTGTAAGTATGTACGGAAGCAGACTGCCATGTCTCTCTCCCGTGGAGCTGCTGGTGGTTTCCAACCACCAACCTTTCAGTTAGCAGTTGATCGCATTATCCACTGTGCCACCAGGGCTCTTTGATGAAATAAGAAGAGGGGTATAAAAGTATTATTTAAAGACACGAATGTAATCAAGATATATAGATCTTTAGATGTTTGCTGAAATATCACCCTATCTAAAATTGCAACGTTCCTGCCCCGACCTGAAGTCTGTCCCTGCTTCATTTTTTTTCCATTGTACTTACCTGTTATCTGATACACTACATATTTTTTGGACTTATTTATTCATTGTTTCCCTCCCACTAGGATGTAAACTCAATGAAGGTAGGAATTTTTTAACCTTTGTTTTCTTACTGTTGTATCCTCAATACCTTTGCATAATTGTTGCTCATTAATTACTTACTGAATTAATTGACTGACAACAGTGGGAAGTGAAAGGGAGTGGAATAAATGAGCTAAGTCATTATCTTTTAGCAAACCATTTGTGCCTCAGGGTTGCCTGTTTGAAAGTTAGTATTTTAAGTTGATGAACCAAGACCTTCAAAGGTTATAGACAGATGTTATAGATACAAAAAACCCCATTGCCATCGAGTCAATTGCAACTCATAGCAGCCCTATAAGACAGAGTAGGACTGCCCCGTAGAGTTTCCAAGAAGCAGCTGGTGGATTCTAACTGCTGACCTTTTGCTTAGCAGCCAGTCTCTTAACCACTGCGCCCACCAGGGCTCCTGTTGCAGATAAAGCTTCCAGAAAAACTAAAAAGCAGAAATAGAGGTTGCTTCTAGGGATTGGAAACGTTGGGAGAGGATGCTTTTGCTTTCCTTTATAAACTCTTAATGATTGATTTGTTACAATGGGAATGTATTACTTTAATGGAGAATAAAACTAAACACTAAAACAATGATGAATTCCAAACCTTTCACTTGATTTCTGAAATTCACTGCAGCTATATCAGAACCTCTATGCATGACCTTTGTACCCTTAGTTTTGCCATGAGTCGTGGGTCATATGTGGCACTAAATCGCTTTGGCACTTTCCCCACAGCCTCCATTTTCAGCTGAAATTCTTGAGTCTCTAGCCTACCCTGACCTTGAAGTTTCTCGGATATCATATGGCACCACTTACTCACTTATCCCTGCATGCAATTCTTTATGCTATCCAGCAACCTCCAAACAAAGAAGCTTATTTCTCTTATTTTCTTCCCGGGGGCTCATTGAGTCCAGGTATCTTAGTGGGTTCTGATTCATCTGCAGAGCATATTCTTCAGGTCTAGCTTTACCTGAGCTTGTATTATCAGCCCTCACTGCATAGCCTGGAGTCCCCAAAGACACCAGGCCTGAGAGACTGACCTTATATTTCAGAATGGTATGATTTTATTCTTTTTGTTGGCTTGGTTTTGTTTTTGTTTTGTTTTTAGGGGTCTTTTTTCTGATTATGAAATAAATACACATGCGATGTAGTATAAAATTTCAAGTAAAAAATAATCTAGTATAGTGAAAATCCTATTCAGGAAGGATTTTTTTTTTTTTAAGTTCTTTTCAGACATGTTTTATATACACATACACATACTTAAAAAAGAGAGAAATCGTACTATATGTGGCAGATTATCCAATAGGCACAGTGCTTACCTTGCTTACCAGATCATCTGAGGTGAAATTGTTCACCACTGATTAGTAAGTAAGCACAAGTAAACCTGTGCTTGTCTTGCTTACTGGGTCATCTGCTTCTGTCAGGGATTGTAAATTTGAAAGGAGGCTTCGATTCTGGAGGAAGGTGCTGTGGGATTGGGAGATGTGAAATTGTTCACTACAGATGATCTGGTTTGGATAATATGCCCCGATACTATACATACAATTCTACAACTTGCTTTTTCACTGTTTACAATCTCACCATCTCCCAGTGGCCAGACATACAGATCTACCTCATTCTCTTTAACAACTGCCTTCTATTAGGTGTATTGGCCATGGTTCTTATTATGGACAACATAATGTATTCTAGATAGTTTAGGCGTAAAGGGATTTATTGAGTATATTTAGCTCACAAATTTGTTGTGAGAAATCAAGAAACAGTTTTCAAAACAAGCTTTCAGGATAAGTTCCCCAAAGTTCACCACAGAACTGGGCTACTGAGGGAGCCACTGCCTCTGCCACAGTCAGGCTCCAGAACCACTCACCTCTGCCAAGATTAGGAAGCTGCTAATTTAGGAAGCTGCCTTGCAAATCAGGACCTTGTCTAACTACTGCTGGCTCCAGAATCTCTTAGCCTCTGCTACAATCCACGCAAGCAAAATGGATGTTGTGCCTTGCCTTTCTTCCTATGTAACTCTGTTCTGAATCAAAATCCCATGTGAGTATATCTAATAGGTGAAGCCTAAATTGTATGTGGAACCTCCCTGCAAACGGTCTAGGAAATACACTTGTTAGCTTATCAGCTTCTTTGGCATAAGAAAACACACCAAATTGTAGTTAGAGCAAAGCCAGAGTTTCCACCACCTAAGGCGATACCAGTAGTTAAAACCTCGGCTGCTAACCGAAAGGTCAGCAGTTCGAATCCACTAGCCGCTCCTTGGAAACCCTATAGGGCAGTTCTATTCTGTCCTATAGGGTTGCTATGAGTTGGAATCGACTCCACGGCAGTGAGGTTGATTTTTTGTTTTTTGTTTTTTGTTTTGGAAAGAGATCCCATAACTTATTCATTGTTTTTGTAAACACATTGCAGAGTAAACTTTTTTTTTTTTTTTAAGTAAAACTGTTCAGATTCTGAGTTTATCTAAGGTCTCTGATTTAAATGCAATTGTCATAAAATGTTTTGAAGGTGAAAATAATCTTAGAGTTTATTTATGTTTGCACAGGCGACACCATTGTCCACATGGAAACACAAGGATTTATGAAAATTCTGGCGTGCCTTACCCCACGACTGAGTATTTGGAAAAATATCCTATGTATGGCAATGTTCTTCCACCTCAGAGTCTTAAACCCAAGCAAGAATTTCGAGCATGCTGTGCTAAAATGGAAGGAATAACAACATTTAAGTAAATATTCAGCAACTATTTTTACTTATTTACTAGCAAATAGCTTTACTTATTTTCCTCCTAACTCTTCTGGTTCTAACTATATAAATTGAACTTGTTAGTTGATTCCAGTTGAACCAACAACACAAGAAGTAAGAAACTAGCTCATTCACAACTTGAGAAAAACAGAAAGATGAGAATTACATTAGGTTGACAGTGAAAAAAGAAAGAAAAAGTTCTACTGATTTTTTTTAACCTTCTAAAATCATATTCATCTGCTTCCCACTGTCACCACCACCTAGACAAGTTCAGTACCTTCCTAATTGTTGTATTTGTATCTACTCTAGTTTCTGCATCTCCAGTCTGCTTTCTGTACTTTAGCCTGCCGAAATAAAATGCAAATCTAATCCTATCATCTCCCTGCTTAGAATTCTTATACATTCTCATATTTTACGTAGACCAAAATCCCAGTGTAGTTTGGTCCCTTGCTGCTTTAGTTTAATTGCATTGCAATGCCCTTTGCACTCTTTTATGCTCCCATCCCATAGGCCTTTTTTTATTTTAAGTGCCAGGATTCCCTTGCAACAGAGCCTTTCAAGATACTGTTTGCCCTGCCTGGAATTTTCTCTCCCTCTTCTCCTAGCTAATGCCCATTCAACCTGGGGATCCCAACTCACTTATCACTTCTTCTGAAAAACTGCCTCTGACACTTCATTCAGTTTTCAGGATAGGTCAAATTCCCCTGTGTAACCACCTTACTATTATTTGTCATTAGAATTTTTTCATTGTCCACGGAAGCAGGAACTATGTCTATTCTTAACTCAGAATTTTGTTTCCGGAAACCTAGTAGAATACCAAGTAGCACATAGTATTTGCTCAATAATTGTTTGATAGTGATGGACAAGAAGGTCCTAAGCCTGAAGTTTTCATCTGGACTAGCTTTTTTGATCTCTTTGCATCTTTGTCAACATGGTGGGTTAATTCTTTTATTTACTCATTCTTTATTTAATGTACACACTATATTCAAGGCACAATCTTCAGCATTAAGTAGAAAAAGTTATAAGTTGAGGTTCCTGCTTTCAGGGAGCTCACGTATCAGTTTTCTATAATTTTGAGTTTGTAAAAATGCTGTATAACAGCTTTAATGTTTAGGATTAACCATTTCAGTTTGTTTCAGATAGAGCTCATTCTACTTATAAAGCAAAGGTGGAAACTTTCAAACCTTTAGTTCGTCGCGTCTATTTTTTTTTTTTTTTATTTTGTTGTTCTGAAATACATATAACCACCCGTTTCCATTTCAACTATTCTACATGTACAATTCAGTGACATTAATTACAGTATATTCACCAACTTGGGCAACCATCATCACTATACGTTTCCAGATTTCTTCGTCACTCTTAACAGAAACTCAGTACCCCATTTTCCACTCCCCTCCAACCTGGTAACCACTAGTAAACTTTAGTCTCTATGCATTTGCCTGTTCTAGATATTTCATATAAATGAGATCACTTCTACTTTTAACCTGATTTCAGGCATCCCTTTCAGTTAATGGTGCTTTGATAACTCCAGTTAGGTACTGCTGTAGGTGTATGGCTCCTCCACAAATTAGAAGGTTTTCCAGAGTCCTCAGTCTGGTGTGTTCAGAGTCATCTAGAAAGGTTGTTAAAATTGCAGATTCCATAACTCCACATAACAGAGTCAGCAGGTGATGGAGTGGATCTAGGAATCTGCATTTTTAACCAGCGTTTCTAGTGTTTCTGTTGATACAGACCTACTGCCATGGGTTGGGTACTGGGCTGCTCACCAGAAATAACATGGAACATAAAGCAGAGAAGGGCTTTACCTTACCATTGTTTACAGTCTTATGGGGTAGATAGTCCAGAAACAAAAATTCAGATAAATAAGTTAATTACAAATCATAGTAAATGAAATGAAATTTAACAATTGGTTGACATAGAGCAAATAGGAATGATTATTCTTTTTTGTTCACCTATCTTGTCTCTTAATGCCTTAATGGTTCATAATGGAGATTTGAAATAAATTTCACCATGTTCATATTTACTGAATAAAGTTTTGTTTTCAACCAGTTCTAAATGCTAAAATTGGGAAAGTTTAAAAGAGGCAGTTGTTTTTCAATTCTTGGTTTTCTCAGTTGACTTGTTCAAGTAGGCCTTGATAGTAAAGAGAAAGAAATGTTCCAAATTCCAAAATGTCCAAATATGCCAATAAAACTAAAAATCCCATTCCTTAAATCACCATCTCTCCACTTATTAAGATACTGGATCTTTTTCTTTTGACTGGGGAACTAGCAGTATTTCTAAGTGCCACATCCTAGAGTTTTGCAACTCTTGCTTGGCTCCTTTATGTTGACCATGTTGACTAGGTGGCAGACAGCTGATTTATCTGTATAAACAAACAAGTGTAGTAAGTTTAGAGAATAGGGTGTCATTTTATACTTTTCTATAATGCAGGAAGAGACTGTAAAAAGCAGATGTTCGGACTTGTACAAGACTTTTGATCCATTATAGCATTACAGTAATGCAGCATAGTACTGTCAGATGACTGCCAGAGCTGGCAGGAAGTTTGTCCTAATTCTGACACACCAAATGTTTCAAGATGTATTAGATGAGTAAGACTGCATTCACCCATTACTGCTTCTCCATTGAAGGTTGCTTTGGGATTAGAGGTATACTTTCTACCACTTAACTAGTCTAATCAGAGAAACTGAGCCTTCTAAACTTTCTCTCTGTCCTCTCCCTGATTCTTCCACCCGCTAATTACATTTTAGCCTATTCCCCTATAGCTGTATTTGGAAAGAGAAAAGAACAACTCAGATGTCTTGAGCAGAGGAATGTGCTATCTACTACCCTTCATCCACAAATAAATATCTTACAGTTTATAAAGCATCTATTAAGTGTCAGGCACTATGCTAGTCACCTGTGATATAGTCAGAGGAAAAACAGTCATGATCTCTGTACTCACAGAGTTTAATGTCTAGTGAAGTGGAGGTGTTGATCAAAGAGATCACTCAAAGTAAGTATAAAATTGCAACAGTGATAAAATGTATGAAAGATAGGCACACATTTCTTTGAGAACCAGAATAAGAGTTTTGACTTTAGCAGAGAAGTGAGAAAAATGAGCTAAGACCTGAAAGATATGTAGCAATGAACTGGATTAAGAAGGGGAGAAAGTACATTTCAGGCAGAGAAAACAACGTGTAGCAGGAAGGAGCATGGAAAGTAGGAAATTCTCAAAGGCCAGCTATAGCACAGTAAGCAAGAGGAAGCACTTTGTGGTTTGAGGCTAATGAAGGAGAACAGGCATGGCCTTGTAGGCTGTGTTCAGCTTTTTTTCCCCTATATTCTTAGAGCATAAGAAGCCATGAAAGGCTTATGTTCCTTTTTTAAGGAGCAGAGGGGTGGTGAGCAGGAGACTAGGGAGATGGCAAGAATGACCTGATCAGATTTACATGTGAAAGGATTACTTTGGGTGTTACATGGAGAAAAGATTGGAGAGTGGACTGGAGTGGATGCAGGTATATGAGTTTAGGAAGCTATTGAAGTGGTTTGAGCTATTATGAAAACTTGGAATATAATGGTACTGATGGAGAAAAGTGGTTAGGTTTGAGAGAAATTGATTCAGGAGGCTGAATTCGGAGGAGTTGATGATGGATTGGATATTGGAAAGAGGTGAGGTATGAAGAATAAGTCCTAGATTTTCTGACTTGTGCAGCTGAAGACATGGTGATGCCATTCACTAAGAGAGAGAACAAGTGAAAAAGATTTGTTGGGCGGAAATAGTTCTATTTGGGACATGTTGAGTTTTGAGCTACCCTTGAAAATTCAAGAGGCCATTGCACATACTGGTATGGAGCTCAGCAAAGAAATCTACGCTGAGATGTAAATTTGAGAGTAAAGCAGTTCATCTCAGGAGTGAACACTGGATGAGAAGAGGAAAGTGGGTAGGTTCAAGACTTGAGGAACTCCAAGATTTAATGGCTGAGTAGAGGAGAATGATGCTACATTGGAGACCTAGAAGAAACAATCAGAAAGGCCAGAAGAGAGAATTTCTTGGAAATAGTGGGAGTGGGCAATAATGTTAATTACTGCTTGAGAGGTCAAGTAAAATGAAGACTAAAAATGCCTGATGGATTTAATCACATGGAAGTCACTGCGGACCTTAAAGCTGTATTTGGGAAATGATAGTGCTAGAGACTAAATTGAAGTGGGTTGAAGAAGGAATAGGAGGCAAAGAAATGAAATCAACAAGAAGTTAGGTTGCAAAGAGGAAGAGGGGTTTAGTGAGTTTTTGTTCGTGTGTGTGATATAGAAATGTATGCAGAAAATATTATTAATACAAGATAGTTTATATTAGTTATAAAACTAGTGACACAGCCAATACAGTCCAGAAGAAAAGGCTATCTATGAAGACTTGGGGTAATAATACTAATAGCTAACGTATTACCCTTACTATATACCAAATACTCTACTAAGTTGTATGTGTGTTCAAATTAATCCTTAAAACAACCCTATGAGATAGATGATATTTTTGTCCCGTTTGCATATGAGGAAACTGAGGCGTAGACAGGTTAACTAACTTGTCCAAGATTGTGCAGTAGTGAATAACAAAGCTAGGATTCAGACCCATATCGACCTGAGTCAGTGGTCTTCCCTCCACCAGGCTACCTCAGTGTCTATGATGCTACCTCTGTCACATAGCATTATGTAATGGCCAGGACAGCTGGATTACCATGTGACTCCCATCCATGCCAAGGGCTCCTGGGAGAACCACGCATGAGTAATACTCATATCCACATTACAGATGTGATTTATGTCTGAACGCCAGAGTTACTGATTATTTAATAATGAGCAGGAAGGCAGCATGACTTTAATTAGTAGATGTGTCTGGGTAGTTTACCAGAATCGTTAAGCAGGATAAATACGGATTTTGACAAAGTGGACCCAGGGGATATATTTTTAGAAATGTTCAGGTTCATCAAACCTGACATTTCCTTCCAAGTTAGAAAAAATTCAATTACTTGAGGATTTTATTTACTTAATATCCAATTAACTGAGGATCCATTGTAATGATGCCTTGAAAACCAGGATTTTTTACATATTCACTTTTCTTAAGACCTTTAATCACTAGATAGAACGTTATAAAGGAACTCATTTATTTTTTTCAAGTAATGTATCAACTATTACTATTTTAGTATCAGGTTTTTAAGTAAAGAAAAAAATTCTTGAATTTTTCAATACTGCATTGAAATAATTAGAAATAAAAGAACCTGTGAGGCTATGTTTCAAATTTATATATTTCAGGTCGGATTATCGTCCTTATGAAATAGTCAAACAGCCTTGCCATGTACCAGAAGAATATAAGCCAAAACTTGGGGAGATTGATCTTGGTACTACCTACAAACAGGATTTTAATTCTTATAAAGTGCAGCCTGTGGCAATAGCCCGGCCTTTGGAAAGACAACAAGTTAAAAAAGGAAAGTTGGACACTGTCCCAACCTACAAAGGTAACATACCATTTCAAAAATGAAGGGGCCAAAAGTTAAAATTCCTACCTTTGACATCTAGTATTAAATCATCATTTTGGTGTGTTGCCAAACCTAGCCCCCATGGCTTTGGGAAAACTGTTTTATCTTTTGTCAAAATAGTCTTACAGAGTGAACAAAAGACCATTTGCTTGATTGAGAGTTAAGAGACCTGGATTCTTGTCTAAATTCAACTACTTATTAGTTTTATCTATTTAAAAACATAAAAACAAAGGATGCCATTGAACAAGCATTATGTCACGTTAGTCACATTATGTTACATTTAGTTGACACTGTCCTTCTCCCCCATCCCTAAATGAGTTGAAACTCTACTGAGACTACTGAGGTCTTTGAGAAGATCAAATAAATAACATCCCTCTTCTATCAAGTTCAGAACCAACTGATGAAACAAAAGAATAGAGAACCAAACTATTGATATTTTGTTGATAAAATATTTGATGAAGGCTAGGGTGGAGGATAAAGCTTATATCTCCAGATTTTAGGTCATGAGACAACAGAAATCCTAAGGGCCAAGGCTGTATTTCATCATTCTGTGTAATGATTGTACTGCCTACTTAAGGACAGGTAGGTACCTACTTAAGGACAGGTTTGCAGCTGAAGAGAAGTCACAATGAAAACATACTCTCACTATCCTCTGAGAGTTACGTGGCAGAGAAAAGGGATAAAGTGGATATGGTAAAGAAAACACCTGCAAGATGGTAAGAGGGCAACATTTAGATGCTGGAGACCTGGTTTTATGAAACTGAAAACCCGTAGAGAGAAGTGTATCTGTCCCCAGCAGCATTAGCTTAGGAATTAATTCATATTAAAATGTAAATGATGAAAATTGGTCAATGTTTGATTTGATCAATTAGAAAATTATGTCTTTGGGACTACTCTGCTCTGTCCTAGGAACTGTAGGGAATGCAGAGATCTGTATTGCAACATGGTAGAAACCTTAGAGTCATGTTTATAAAAGAGGCAATAATAGCAGGAAAAATGAAATAGCCATACAATAAGGGTCCTAATTCACCAGAAAAATCAGTGTAGCAATTAGTGCTACAGAAATTTAGACAGGGCAAGAGGTCACTACAGGCTACCCTAGAGAGGCATCCATTGAAACTAGTGAGTATTGAACACAGAGAGAAGGAAAAATGACAGGGCAAAATGAACAAATCATCAAGTCAGGAAAATAAAAGCGTTGTTCAGTGGACATGGTGAGAACCACAGGATTTCAAGGCTGCAAGTTTAGGATATAATTTGATTAATATCATCACATTACAAAGTGCTCTGATTGCCAGACTGAGAAGCTTGTCATTTTTCTTGCAGCCACAAAATTGTTTTTGAAATTTCCACGGCTAGTTAGGATGTAGTAGGTAGCAGAAAGTCATTATCAACAACTAAAAGAGGTATAAATTTTTAAACCTTAAAGTCTTATTTTTAATCACATCAGATAGCTGTAGAAGCAAAGAACTAAAATTCTAGAAAGGGAGGAGTCCTCCCGAGGTGAGCAGAAATGGGCAACCATTTACTTTCTTAGGAGAATTTGTCAAGTGTAGTCCCAGACTGAGAATTGGGCTTGGCATAAGCAGAGGAACTATACTAGGGGAAAGAGAAACCAGCGGAGCATTTGACATGTGGGCTGGTATGACAAATTGGAATCTGGGAGAGTTCTAAATATATGGCTGGTTTTCCGTGTGGAGGGCATGCTTGGCTGGGAGACTGGCCCAGAAAAACTCCGCAGAAATACCCTGTAGTCTCAGTTGGGAGTAAGTGTTTAGTACACAAAGTCCCACTAGAATGAGGGTTTTGCCACAAACACACAACAGGTCTTGCTCTTAAGACATTTGAAACCAGAGGAAGACTGTCTAACTAAAGATGCCAGCAAGTGCTGTCCTAGCTCAGTTCCTGATTGATTTGAGGAGACCTGCTCCACATCCTATCTGCCTAACATAGGAAAGAGAAAACTGTTTTCTTTTGAAAATAGTATTGACTTGATTTTAGTTTCTGTGGTTCTTTTATACACAATGTCCGGCATATAGTAAAACATGAGACCTATGAAGATGCAGAAAAAATAATGGCCAGGAAGTTTCCAAAATTGATGGAAGAATGAGCCCACAGATTCAAGAAGCTCAATAAACCCCAAAGTAGATGAACACAAAGAAAATTACACCTAGGAAATTGTCATCAAAGTTCTGAAAACCAGGTAAAAATAAATTCTTATAACTAATCAGAGGAAAAAAATACACATATCTACAAAAAGAAAAATTATATTGACACTTGATTTTTCAATAGAAGCTATGGAATCTAGACTGACATCTTTAAAGTGCTGGAGGAAAAAATTAAACCCAGTGAACCTAGAATTTTATATCTTGTAAAAAAAAATTCTTCAAAAAAAAAAAAGCAAACTAAAGATGTTTTCATACAGACAAAAAGCTGAGAGAATTTGTCACCAGCAAATGCAGACCCACACTACAAAAAGTACTAAAAGTTCTTCAGGCTGTCAGAAAATGATCTCAGAAGTATGAGATACTGGAAGCACACCAGCAAGAGTAAATTTGTGGGAAATTATAAGAGATTACTGGCGTCTTAAAGTCACAATACCTATGTTATGTGGTTTTGTATAGAAATAAAATATGTTACAACAAAAGCACAAAAAGGCAGGATGGTGTAAATGGAATTAAACTGTCGTAAGGTTCTATTGCTCTGGAAGTGGTAAAAGTATCAAGTATTAATCCAGTGCAGGAAGGGCAGTACCCTGTCATCCCCAGTGCACAGGCTCAGATCTGTTACAGCTAGAGGAAAGGAAAAAGAAAAACAACAATCAGAAGGAGAAACAGGAAATTGTATTGGGTCCAACCATTAGAAATACCCTACATCAGGGAGTGTGTTAGGAACACAGAGAGCATCAAAGACCCAGGCACACATGACTGCCTACAACTGAGGTTGGTCCAACAGAAAAACTACCCCCATACATAACCCACCAGCACCAGGTTACCAAGGACCAAATAACAAGCAACAGCAGTCCACCACTGTGAGTGGGACAAGATTATGAACTGAGACATTCTCTGAGGTACAAGTGCAAAGAGAAGGCCTAAATCTGAGGATGGAGGATACATTGAGGAAAACCCCTCCAGCAAACCATCCCTCACCCTAAGCACAAGATAATGCCAAAGGAATTTGAACCTGGTGATGCACTGAAGGTAAACAAGCAAAAACAACAACGAAAAACCAAATGTAGCTTAAATACTAGTAAAACTGACTTAATCCTCACTAAAGGCTTAGCAGAAGAAGATCTATATACATTTCTGAGTGAATATTATTTGTCTACTGTCTACACACAGATGTCCAGCTTTCAACCACAAATTACAAGTTATAAAAAATAAAAGGAAGGAAGGAGGAAACAACTGTCAAGAGACCAAATCAAAATCAGATTCAGAGATGACTTGGAACTATAATATATGGAATTTTTTAAAACTGTCATTGATATGTTAAAAACTCAAGTGGAAACAATGGAAAGCATACATGAACAGACAGGGAACTTAAACAGAGAGATGGAAACTGTAAGAAAGTACATGGAAATGCTAGAAATAAAACACCCTGCACACACCCATACCTTCACACACACACACTCAGCAGCCAAGGGGAAAAAAATCCATGAACTTGAGATATGTCTATATAAATTACCTAAACTTAAACACAAATAGAAAAAAGTGGGAAAAAAAAAAACAAAAACAGCACATAGCATCCAAAGCTGTGGGACACTTTTATATGGGTCTAACATAAGTGTATTCGGAATCCCAGAAGAAGAAAAAGAACAAGATTGATTTGTTTGAAGACATTAGGGAAAAGAATTTTCCAAAAGAATGAAAGGCATTAAACTACAGATCCAAGAAGTTCAAAGAAACCCTAAGCAGGGTAAATTTAAAATAAAAAAAAAAAAAAATGAAAGGAAGAAAGAAAGAAATCACCTAGAAACATAGAAACACTATATTCAAACTTCTAAAAATGGAATATAAAGAAAAATCTTTAAGGCAACTAGTGGAAAATAAGACACACTACATACAGAAGAACAAAGAAAAAATTGCATAGATATTCTATCTGAAACTAGGCCAGAAGATAATGGAGTGACATGTCTAAAATGTTAGGGTGGGAGAGGAGGAGAATAACTTGTCAAACCAGATTCAATTCCCAGTGAAAATATCTGTCGTAAACAAAGACTTTTTCAGACAAGTAAAAACTCAAAAGATCTCATTATTAGTAGACCTTCACTGTAAGAAATTTTAAAGGAAGTTTTTCGGGCAGAAGGAATATGATACCAGACAGAAACTTGTGCTATGCAGAGAAATAAAGATCTCCAGAAATGGTTAAAATGAAGCTTTATATAAAAGAATTTTTTGTCTAGTGAAAAAATAGTAACAGTATATTGTGAGTTTATAGCATGTGTAAAAGTTAAAAATTTAACAATAGTGTAAGAAAGTAACTATTTCTGCCGTCAAGTCGATTCTAACTCATAGTGACTCTATGGGACAGGATAGAACTACTCCATAGGGTTTCCAAGGCTGTAAATCTTTATGGAAGCAGACTGCTGCATCTTTTTCCTGTGGAGCGGCTGGTGGGTTCGAACCGCCAATCTTTTGGTTAGCAGCTGAGCACTTTAACCACTGTACCACTAGAGCTCCACTGTATGAAGATAGACTGATTAATTGAAGATATGTGTTGTAAACTTTACAGCAAGGGTTGGCAAACTGTGGCCCATGGAGTAAATCTGGCCAACCATCTCTTTCTGTAAATAACCTTTAATTGAAACACAGCCACACACAGTTGTTTATATATTGTCGATGGCTGCTTTCACACTACAACCTCAGAGCAGAGCAGTTACAACAGAAAGCACGTAGCCCACAATACCTAAAATATTTAGTATCTGACTCTACAGAAAAAGTCTGCCAGTCCCTCACTAGGGCAACCAAATTAAAAAATAAAAAAGTTAAACAAGAAATATAATTACGTGATGGGTGAATAGATGGTGCACAGAGGATTTTTTAGGGCAGTGAAACTGTTCTGCATGACACTGTAATGGTGGACATATGACAAAACCCACAGGACTATACAACGCAAAGAATGAACACTAATGTAAATTATGTGCTTTAGTTAATGTATCAATATTGGTTCATCAGTTGTAACAAATATGTCACACAAATGCAAGATGTTAATAATAGGAAAAACTGTGCAGAGGGGAGAGGAGGTATATGGGAACTCTTTGTACTTACTGTACATTTTTTCTGTAAACCTAAAACTCCTCTTAAGAAAGTAAAGCCTGTTTTTTTTTTTTTTTTTTAAGATGGACATCAATCAGTGAATTCGTAAACAAAAACAATACAGAAAATCAATGGGAAAAAGAAAAAAAGAAACTAGTCTGTTAAAAGATAATAAAGTTGATAAGTTCTGTCCAGACTGACCAAGAAAAAAGAGAGAGAGAAAATGAAGGAGAGGACATCACCATAGACTCTACAGAACCTTGTTTTACGTAGTTGTTACTTCTTTTCCCTTTTCCTTATTTTTGATAATTTCATCAGTTTGCTATTCATTCCATCTTTACCTCAGGAAGGAAAAAATTAAAATACATATACTTAGGAGATAAAAATCAACAGAATTTGAAAATTACTTGAAAGGGAGACAAACAAGTGAGAGAAAGTCCACCAGGTGGTGTCTTTGCCTCAGCTGCCAAGTTCATAATAGAAACTGTTTTGTTGAAGACGATGTATTATATTCTGGGGAAGGTGAGCCTGAGTTTGGACATGTTAAGTTTCAATTCAGCTGTGGGACGTACAAATAGCGATATCTAGTAGGAAGATAGATGTGCGGGTTTGGTGTTTGAAGTGAGATCCAGAATGGAGATTCAAGTTTGCAGCCATCAGCTTACTGGTAGTACTGAAAGTCATAGGAGTGCTTTGACTTTGTAAAAAAAAAAAAAAAAAAAAAAAAAAAAGTTTTCCAAATCTTTGGTACTTCAAGGAACCACAGGAAACAGAGTCCCAAGAACTACAATAAAAAAAAATCGGGACTTTTATTCTCAAAGGACAAGCCAGAGAAGATCATTATATAAAAATGGAAGAAGGAACTGTGCGTACAAATGTTCATGGTGAGCAAAAGTCATAGACTTGATGCTTGTCAGAAAAGAGCAGACTTACTAAGTTTTAGAGGCTAGAAATAAGAAGAGTGAGCTGAGGAAACATCACTTACCTAACAAGGGTAGTACTGGAACTGTCAAATTACCAGACCACATTGTTAGAGATGGAGTGGCAGCGTGTATATGTGTGTGTGTTTTCCCCCGTGTCATAAGACACTAAAAATAGATGGTATTAATAAACACTATAGTGTTTGAATGGTATTGATAGAATGTTATTAATAAATATTCCAGGACTACTAACAAATATTTCAGGCTCATGAGCACAGGCAGATTTATAGGGGAAAAATCAATTTTCTGCAATTATCTGGAAGTAATATTCATAATATATGCCATCAAACCTTGTCTCAGTCTCCAAATTTTCTCTTCCTTTTTGAAAACCTAGCCTAGTTTGACTTGAGAGAAATCTCTTCTGTTTCATTCTTCTATTAAAATGAATGTCTTTTCCACTTAGTCATTTTGGCAGCAAGGGCTCTCCCCATATGAAGGTGTAGAACTATAGCCCTGGAAAGGTATCTGTGGTTTCCTTTAGATGCTGCAAAATAGTCTTATAATTTGATACTGTAGATTGCAAAGAACAGAGATTCCTACATGGAACCTGAAAAAAAGAACGTTTGTAATAAAGCCTCATGTGAACTGGACATGGAAAGCTATCAGGTACAGAGGAAGCTTGAAGGAAGAGCTACTCCCTCCATCTCTCCCATGAGCTGCATCGTTTCTCTCACAGCATCTTCACTTCCTTTTACATACCTTCTCTGATTGCCACACTATTAACTGGCCTCTTCTGCCTATTTATAATTTCTGTTCCCTCCCAAGTTTGCTTTAAATATAACCAGCTTTGTCATAACTCTCCAATTGTATTTCATGGCATCCTTTTAGATTCTTCTCCCACTTGTGTCTGGCTCTTTATTTTAAATTTAGGTTCACAAGAACAAGAATATTCTTGACCTAACTTTCATTGCCATGTTGTTTCATGGGTCTCTGCTAACCTAAAGATTGGCTGCTCTTGGGTTAGGTGCCCATTCTCGTCAAACATCAGTAGCTTGAAGTGACAGTAATCATTCAGTCCAAAACTTGGCCATCTTGGCACAAATGCCTATAGGTGAGCCAGTTTTCTCTTGGAAGGAGGTATCCACATAATAATCATTTGAATTTTGGCCTTTCCAGTACCATTGCATAGACTTCATTCCAGACTCTAATACTTTACATTGTATAAAAAAAAATTTCTGTCTTTTAGAAATTAATTTTTGGTATTTAGACATACATATTTTTGGATGAAGTTAATACTATATTATTTTCCAGATTACTACCTTTCTCATCTAGAACTAGATAAAATATAAGCACTTCAATTTTCCATTTATAATCTAGGAAGCAGGCTTGAGGTATTTAAATTTTAAATCTCAGATCTTAGCTCTGATGTTCCCTTCTAAATTCTACATATAACGTCTAACTCTTGAAAGCACTCAGCTCAGGCTCCTGGCCTCTAGAGGGCCCTCTATCTATTGAAGTTGCCTCAAAGCAAAGTTAGTCACGGATCTCTGTGGAACAGTACAAGTTATCCTGTATCTTTGCTTAGGGAATCCCATAGGAGTATAATGGAGTGGAAATTTTCTCTTTTGAGGAGTCCCTTCAAAGTAAGGAATAATCCTGATACCACTTTTGTCCACATATCACAGCCCTTAACATGAGCCCAGGTACCTCGGTTTTATGTCTTATCTTAGCCTTAAATTAGTGAAAATTCCAACTAGTTCTTGCAAATCTCAAGTAAAGGAACAGAACAATAATCTCTTAAACTCTGTTCCCACCAAAAATCCAGTCCTTTTGGCTTTCAAAAACGATCAACAATCAGGCTCAGATGTGCTATTCCCTTGTTATGGAATCAGATGAAACTGAAAGTAGAAAGTGTATAAAGCTGGGAGGTAGGAAGGGGAAGGTGTAAATTAAAAAAAAAAAAACCTGAGGGAAATTAGACAAAACTTCGTTTTTGATGCTATCATTCAGATTGTAAAGGAAATGGAAGGATGTTTGGCAATGTAGAAGTAAGGCATGATTTTTAGAAAATAGTTATTTTCTTCATATTTAAAAACTTTTTATTTTTTAATTTTCAAGATGACTATAGAGCTTGGGACATTCAGAAAAGTGAACTTTATAAACCAGAAGAAACTTACCATCCCCCTACTGTGAAATTTGGAAATTCAACTACATTTCAGGATGACTATGTTCCTCAGGAGATAAAGCCTAGGCAAAGCTTTAAACCCTCCTTTGTGGTCAGACGGTCTGCAATGCCTTTTAATGGTGATACAAGTCATCGCCTTGATTATGTACCACATCAGCTAGAATTCAAGTTTGCAAAGCCAAAAGAAGTGTATAAGCCAAGCAACCAACCTTTTGAGGATCTCACAACTCACCGCAATGACTTTCAGGGTCTTGTTGGTGAAACTGTAAAAATGTGCAAACCTACATGCAATAGAGTGACCCAAAATGCTCAATTTGAAGGAAGCACTGAATTCCGAGAAAGTTTTCAACCATGGGAAATCCCACCACCTATAGTCAAGAAAGTACCAGAATATGTCCCACCTACAGGTACTATGCAGTTAAGCAGCACAAGCCATCTTGACTACGTTCCATATCAGGCCAACCGTGTTGTTCCCATAAGGCCAGTTTCTCATAGAAGAAATGGCAATTTTCCTTTCCAAGGAAAAAGCACCACGAAGGAAGATTTTCCAGCATGGGAAAGTTGTCGTCCAGGAATTATTAAAAGGCATCAGCAGATTCCCAACCCATCTGGAAAATTTGATGGTTTGAGCACTTTCAGATCTCACTACGTGCCACATGAACTGATTCCCACAAAGAGTTGCAAACCTTTAAATGTTGCGGTTAGGAGTTCTATTCCATTTGATGATGTAACCATGTATTCTATAGAGTACACACCAAAGAAGCAGGAAATCTGCCCTGCTAGCTATCCTTCCCCTCCAGGTTATATATTTGAAAATACAAATTCCCAAGGTCATAAATTCTTCCAAGAGATCAGTACTGCAGTGAAGGCCTTCTAATCATCAAATCATGCTTAAAAGGAAGCTAACTAGCAAGATGTTGGTTTCCCAAGGGCAAAATCAATTTTTATAGTGGAAAAAAATTTATGAGAGAGATATAACGAATGAATCATTTTTTCAGATTTTTAAAGAATAAAATTGGAAAATTTACTATAGGCAATCAGAATCTTAAAATCTATTTTATTTTTTTATCTTTTAGCCAAGATTATTCTTGAAAATGCATTTTTGAAAACTGAATGATATATATTCCCATGTGAACAATTTTAATATCTAACATACTGTTGGATAGCTTGTCCCCAATTTATTATCATTTATACTTCTGTTTATAATTATGGCAGTTACAGGGTTATTCATGTATTCATTTTCATTTATCAAGTGCATTAGGACTATCTAGAGCACCACTGAAAATGACATATGGACTCCTCTTACAAGACAATAGTATTCATTTTCCTCAGACTTCAAGGCATCTATATAGTGTTCACTGAGAAATTTTGGCTTGTAGTGTTGGAGACTGCTGCATTGCTCCTCACTGTGCTCAAGTTAGCAAGAAGCATTGTGGTCTGGAAGGAAAGGCTGAGAATCAGAAGACTTGAGTTCAAGTTCTAATTACAGCAGTTTCTTTTTGGGCCACCTTAGGCAAGTAACTCATCTCTGAGCCTCAGTGTCTTCATTTGTAAAAGAATATCTGCTCTGCCTACCTCACACAAAGTTTATTTTGAGCATAAGATCATATAATATATTTTAATCTATAAAGTAAAAGTACTAAACTAATGTTAGGGATTGTTAATGAGTCACATAATCTTTTTTTGTACCTGTTTTTTCCTTTTCCAAATTAGGATAATTTCGCGAAGAATATTCATATTCTGGTCTGTATAAAGGATGGTTAAATAACCTAGTTTGATTTGAGCTTATGAGTAGTATGCATTTCTGAGAGGAGTCTTCCCCTCTAAAGCTTCAAAATCACTCGAGAAGTTGTTACAGGAACTGGCGAGCTTGGATTGGGGTGAATAACATTGTTTGAATGACAGTATTTGCTGAAAGGAAAAAGTATTTGGTCAAGTAGATTTAGAAACAGCCAACAGCTGTGAAGAAATCTTCAGGGTAACTTAGATGCACCTCATTGCCATGGCTAGATTCACTGTGCCCACCATGGGTCACAATCACCTCATCCCTCTCTTCAGTGTGAAAATAAGTGCTAAAAAGGGAAGGATGAAATGATGTTATAAAGAACACATTGCATTTATGATGCTGAAAATTTCCTAATGAATTAAGCTTTTACTGGATGTTTTTCCTTTGATAAATAGTTGATTGCATTATGAAAGAATATAATTTGTTATAAAGTGAATTTTAGGCTCTTTTATAGCTTCAAAATTGTTTCAAAATATAGACTCAATTGAGGACAAGTTTATCAATATTTGTTTAAAGATTTTTAATTATTAAGTAATTTGTTTTTATTTACATATGCATGTGTTAGTGAAAATATACATGGATTTTTCTATCTCTGTACAACATTAATGAAACAATAAAAGGAATGAATTTTCATTAAATAATTTTTGTACCAAATTTTCTCTGGAAAATAGAGCATTATACTAACACATATTTAGGTTTGCCAGCTATATATAATTAAATAACCTTAGATTTTAAATAGAAAATATTATTATACACATCAAAATAAAAATTAGAGAATACTACAGCATTCTCTCATCTTGTCCTGTTCTCCAATGCTAGATATTCAAATCCCTCTGTCATCTGATGGAGGTCACCTCCTCCCTCCCTAGACAAGGATCACCCTTAATAAGACATCTCCGGGGTTTCCTGAGGCAATGTGCCATGGGCCGAGAGCACAAAGACCCATGATAGTGTCTCTCCACAACCTAACACTCAATATAGTAGGTGCAAAACTAGATATAGGCATAGAGTTAGCATGCATAGAAGGACACAGAAGGGGATCAGGGAAGACTTGGTTAAGGAGTGGACAGCTGAGCTGAATTTTAAAAGATAAGTAAGAACTGGCCAGCTCAAGAACAGTAGGATGGTGGAAACAACAGGAACACAGAGGGATCTATATGTCTGTGCAAGAGTGAGAGACTTCCAAAATATGATGGTGGAATGCTAACAACCCATGATTCATCCTTTACCTAGGTCTCCTTGAAATACTAAGCATGAACACACGCACACATTCCTACAACATTTTAACAACAAATGGAAACTAGTAATAATTTTATAACAGCCTGTGAGATTCTAGGGGGAATTTCCACTAGGCCAAACTTGGAGAATCTGATGAAAAAAGGAGGAAAAATCAGAGAGAAAAAGCAGTAAGAAATTTCTACCCTACCTCAATCCTGTCCTCATCCTGTCTCCCTGCATACTTTTGTTGTGGAAAATAAGACCACAGACTCAGAAATTAGAAATAAAACCTTTATGGTTTATAAAAACTGCATGGCAGGAAGGAAGGAGGGGAGTGTTCACCAGTCAGAGGCTGGAAACCCAGCACCCCAGCTTCTTAATATATCAAATTTACAGGATTTCGCTCTCTCTTTTATTTTAGTTTTTTTATTATTTTATTTTTGTTGTCGTTGAGAACATACACCAATTCAACAATTTCTACATGTAGAATTCAGTGACATAGATTGCATTATTTGAGTTGAGCAACTAGTCTCACCCTCCTTTTCTGAGCTGTTCCTCCTGCATTAACATTAACTAACTGCCCCCTAGGTTCCTATCTAATCTTTTGAGTTGCTGTTGTCAATTTGATCCCATATAGATAGATCTTAAAAGAGCAAAATACTCAAGGCAGACATTCTTTACTAGTTAAGCTAAACTATTGCTTGGTTTTAAGAAAACTTCAGGGGATATTTTAGGTTTAAGGTTTAAAGAATATCTCAGGGCAATAGTTTCAGGGGTTCATCCAGACTTCATGGCTGCAGAAAATCTGAATTCTATAAGAATTTGAAATTCTATTCTGCATTTTCCCCCTTTTGATTAGGATTCTTCTATAAACTCTTTGATCAAAATGTTCACTAATGGTACCTGGGCACCATCCAGTTCTTCTGGTCTCATAGCAAAGGTGGCAGTCATTCATGGAGACAATTAGCTACACATTCCATTTCCTTCTCCTATTCTTGACTCTCCTTCTTCCTCTATTGTTCCAGGCAAATAGAGACCAACTGTGATGCGTTGAGTGGCCGCTTGCATCGAACTCCTGTTGTAGGAGATAGAACAGATGCACTAAACATGTTATTAGGCCAATTAAGTGGGATGCACCCTGAAACCATGACCCTAAATCTCCAAACCAAGAAACCAAACTCCGTGAGGTTTTTAGTTGTACATAAGCAGCCTTAGAGCTACTTTTTTTTTTGTTTGTCATCGTTGTAAATTTATCTATCACACAACTTTTGCCAAATCACCTTTTTACAGGTGAACAATTTGTTGTTCTTCTTACGTGCCACTGAGTCAGTTCTGATTTCATAGTGACCCTATGTACAACAGAACAAAACACTGCCCGGTCCTGCGCCATCCTCACAATTGTTATTATATTTGATCCCATTGTTGCAGCCACTGCATCCATCCATCTCATTGAGGGTCTTCCTCTTTTTCAATGACCTTATACTTTACCAAGCATGATGTCCTTTTCCAGAAACGGGTCCCTCCTTATAACATGTCCAAAGTGTGTGAGACGAAGTCTCACCATCCTTACTTTTTTTTTTTTGAAGTTTAGATAAGGGTTTACAGAGCAAACTCTCTTCTCATTAAACCATTAATACACATATTGTTTTGTGACACTGTTGCCAGCCCCACGATCTGTCAACACTCTCCCCTTCTCCACCTTGGGTTCTCCATTACCAGCCTTTCTGTCCCCTCCTGCCTTCTCATCCTTGCCCCTGGGCTGGTGTACCCATTTAGTCTCATTTTGTTTTATGGGCTTGTCTAATCTTTGGCTGAAGGGTGAACCTCAGGAGTGACTTCATTACTGAGCTATATAAGGGTGTCTGGGCGCCATACACTCGGAGTTTCTCCAGTCTCTGTCAGACCAGTAAGTCTGGTCTTATTTTTTATTTTTGTGAGTTAGAATTTTGTTCTACATTTTTTTCCAGCACTATCCAGGACCCTCTACTGTGATCCCTGTCAGAGCAGGCAGTGGTGCTAACTAGTTGTGCTGGACTCAGTCTGGTGGATCGCCATCCTTGCTTCTAATGAGCACTCTGGCTGTACTTGTTCCAAGACAGATTTGTTCATTCTTCTGTTAGACCATGGTATATTCAATATTCTTCCCCAACATCATAATTCAAAGGCATCAATTTTTCTTTGGTCTTCCTTATTCATTGTCCAGCTTTCACATGCATATGAGGTAATTGAAAACACCATGGCTTAGGTCAGGTGCACCTTAGTCCGCAAAGTGACATCTTTACTTTTTAACACTTTAAAGAGATCTTTTGCAGCAAGTTTGCCCAGTGCAGTGCGTTGTTGGATGTATTGAATGCTGCTTCCATGGGCATTGATTGTGGATCCAAGTAAGATGAAATCTTTGACAACTTCAATCTTTTCTCCATTTATCATGATGTTGCTTATTGGTCTGGTTATAAGAATTTTTGTTTTCTTTATGTTGAGGTATAATTCATATTGAAGGCTGTGGTCTTTGATCATCATTAGTAAGTGCTTCAAGTCCTCCTCATTTTTATCAAGTAAGCTTGTGTCATCTGCATATTGAAGGTCGTTTATGAGCCTTCCTCTGACCCTGATACCCCGTTCTTCTTCATACAGTGCAGCTTCTTGGATTATTTGCTCAACATTCAGATTGGAAAAGTATGGTGAAGGATACGACACGGACGCAAACCTTTCTTGACTTTAAACCACGCAGTATCCCCTTGTGTTTGAACAACTGCCTCATAGTCTGTGTACAGGTTTCTCATGAGCAGAATTAAGTGTTCTGGAATTCCTATTTTTCACAATGTTATCCATAATTTGTTATGATCCACACAGTCAAATGCCTTTGCGTAGTCACTAAAACACAGGTAAACATCTTTCTGGTATTCTCTGCTTTCAGGCATGATCCATCTGAGATCAGCAATGATATCCCTTGTTCCAAGTCCTCTTCTAAACCTGGCTTGAACTTCCGGTAGTTCCTTGTCCATGTACTGCTGCAACCACTTTTGAATGATCTTCAACAAAATTTTATTTGCGCATGATATTAATGATATTGTTCAATAATTTCCATATTCTGTTGGATCACCTTTCTTTGGAATGGGCACAAATATGGATCTCTTCCAATCAGTTGGCCAGGTATCTGTCTTCCAAATTTCTTGGCATAGACCAGTTAGCACTTCCAGCACTGCATCAGTTTGTTGAAACATCTCAATTGGTATTCCATCAATCCCTGGCGCCTTGTTTTTCACCAGTGCCTTCAGTGCAGCTTGGACTTCTTTCTTCAGTATCATAGGTTCTTGATCATATGCTACGTCCTGTAATGGTTGACCATCAACCAATTCTTTTTGGTACAGTGACTTTGTGTATTCCTTCCATCTTCTTTTGATGCTTCCTGCGTCATTTAATATTTTCCCTGCAGAATCCTTCAATATTGCAAATCCAGGCTTGAATTTTTTCTTCAG